ATGACAGCCACACGAGCTGATCATCATCGATAGATGGATCCGATCGTCCATGATCCATCCCCGGCCGCCCAGCTCACGCCCAGCGGCGCAGCCACTCGACGGCGCTCTGCTGGGCTTGGCGGGCCGGCACACGAACGCGAGCAGGAGCAGCCGCGCGGGTGGTGGGACGAGTCTCGAGTTGGCGCGGATGCGGATTCCTCCCTCGCCCCCCGCCGCGCGCCTGGAACGGAATAGAAGCTTTTGCTGGGGCGTGGCAGCGTGGGGCCTGGGGGCCGGCCGGCCTGGGGCCCTGGCGGCTGGGCGGCATGCCATGTGCGGCCACGGCTGCGTGCGAGCCGGGGAGGTACGCCACGCCACGCCATCAGGCTGGCTCACCGGCCCTCATCACTGGCAGAGCGAGTGACAGCACGCACCTGCCTGACCAGAACGGGCCTGCCGCCCGGCGCTGGCTTGGCCAGTTGGCCTGGATATAATGGACTGGGCAGTCGAGTCCACAGCCGTCGGCTTGGGAGCAAATGAGCAATGGCAAAGCCATACCCATACTCTACTCCTACTATGCTACAAGGAGCTCGAACTCGAAGAAACAAGTGTGTAGGTCTCGATGATTGCGCGCAGGATATCCATGCACGCACTCATCTCCTCTCAAGTCTCAACTCTCATGCATGTCCCATCTCACGTGCTCTTGTTTGCTTCCGGATTCCGTCTCGCGATCACGTCCCTGCTGCCCGCGATCAATGTCCCCTTCCCTTGGCGGTTCCCCATGGTTACTTCACGGCACAACTGCCCAATTGCCGGTGCGCCATTTCCCGCTGTCGCTGCTGCCTGCGACGTTGCCACGGCAGCCGCCGGTGGCCGGTGGGCCGTCCCTCCCTCCTCCAGTCCTCCTGTCCTCCAGCTCCAGATAGGCTGGTAGTCTGGTACTCCTGCTGCCGTGACCGTAAAAAGCGCCGTGGTGTGGTACGCCGAGACAGTGCAGCAGGGCGACACCGGAATTCTCTTGCCCTGCCGGCTGCGGCCCTGCATCTGGTCCCGTGGATCATCAGCCAGCCGGCCACGCGCGTCAGGCGGACCGGACCGGGTCGAGTATGAACACGTCAAGGCAGGCACGTCCCCTCCCCAACCCCAATGGTCGGCGCCAACCAATGTGGATGTGGACATCATCAGCTCGTGTGGCTGTCATCACTTCAGCGTCTCCTTCATTCAGGAATCAGGACGCTAGTACATTACGGCGAAAAATAGGAAAACTAGCAGCGGGCTGGGCTTATTCCCTCGTAAACGAATTATGTTCTCTCACCATGTACTTTTCTAGTCGAGGTCTCGAGGGAAAACTATCAGCGTATATACTCCGTATAAATGCATACATTGTCTTAGCTGACTTACCATTTTTTATGGTCATGCTCGTTTCTCTTATAATCCGTCTTTTTTGGCTTGTTTTTTAGTTGAAATAATATTTTTCTCTCATAAAAATCAGCCGAAACAATATTTTAACTTATTTTTTTAGCGAAGCGAGCGTGCCACGTGCTTTGGATTGGAAACAGGTACTCTGTCCAATTATTGCTCCATACAAAACTGAGAATTTTCTTCACCACATGTCCTAGCAATACTGATCATATTGCTTTAGCACACTGGCCTACGAGTTAGTTGGAGCTTTTCCACTAGCCAGTTCATGGACCACCTGAACTCAGGAACCTTTCCTGAATGTTCTGAATTCATTTTTCTCACCAGAGTCAATAACTCCCTTGCCTGATTGCCTCTGAAGTCCGAACCAATATTCAGAGTTACCACTTGCACATTGCTGGATATAATGACTAAACATACACATTTGCATTTTTCTTTTGGTACTTACCAAAATTAGAGAAACAATGAAACGTTATTGTTGTGCTGACATATAGGGCCAAATTTCTCAAAATTTAGCATTCTGTTTGGTCCAATGAACAGTAATAAAAATCCCCACACAAGACCTCAGATCCCCCCGCACGAGTGGCACAGCCGCAGAGGAGATCAAGAACTCAAGACGACCTCTTGCAAGCGTGGTCGCCTGCCACTAATAATCAGTATAAATAAAATAAAATTCATTCCTAAAAAAACTTCTATTAATTGACGCCAACTATATTTGAAAATTGTTTTTTTACAGCATTTGTAAATCGGTAGTGCCCATTAAGACCGTAAGGCCGGACGCCTAATAAAAAAAATCAAATCGCCACGGAAGCTCGTCTCTCCCACTCCGCTCTCGTGCGTCGAAGCCACGACGCCGTGCGGCCGTCTGACCCTCCCAATCCGCCGTGCCGCCGCCCACTTCGGCGCGCCACCACCGACATTCCCCACGGTGCCTCCCATCCCAGCGGCACCTCCGTCTCCCGCGGAGAGGAGGAATCCTCCGTGTGAGGTATACTGCTAGCCGCCCCACCGACTGCAGCTGCCACCGGAGCCGGTCGTCGGCGCCTCGCCCTCCGCCTATAAGCTCCATGCATGTGATCGCGCGAGTGCAGCGGTGCCTCTGTCCCCTGCGCATGCCGACGTGCTCCGTCCTTCGCCGCGCCTAGGTCAGGCGGCCAGGAGAGGGGGCGTCGCTGGCCAGGCCTAGGCCTGGCGCAGGCGCAGCTGGCCGCTGCCAGGCCGCGGCACCGTCCTCGGTTGCCGGCTAGCCGAAACTGGTCGTCCCCCACTCTACGTTGCGTCATACTGAAGAAGGGTGAAAAACGCATGTTGTAAGCGTCTGTTTCAAATGTTTCAGAGGTATGTTACAAGTGTTTCATACGGATGTTACAAAAGTAGATCGAGATGTTGCACATGTTGTAATGGTTGTACACGTATGTTGTAAACTCTTGTTCTCAATGTTTCATCTGTTTTTTTTCCGACGTATGTTGCAAGTGTGTTTATCTGGATGTTGTATATGTTTTCACACATATGATGCAAGTGTTTTTATCTAGATGTTGCGTATGTTTACAATGGTTTCAAATATTTTTACAAGTGTTTCAGATGCATGTTTCTTTTGTTTTTAGACGTACGTCGTAATTGTTGTATCTAGATGTTTTAAAACTAGATCGAATGTTTTATCTCCCTTTGTCTTTCTTCTGTCTCACCTCGGGCGTGGAAAGTTGGAAGCGGTCCCACTGGCGCGAACGGGCCCCACGTGCTTGCGGGGCAGGTGCAGCAGGCAAGACTTTGGACGTGCAGGCACGGGACGCGAGACGGGAGGCAGTGGCGTGGGCATCCGGACGGGGCGCCCTTTGTAAAATGAAGTTTGTTGGGTGAACAAATGTACGCGACGTCATTTTCAAGCAATTGAAAGATAGCCAGCTGCCCCTTTACTAAAACCTGTTTTGTTTGTCGTGTCACAATACACATCCGCAGCTACGCAAGTAACAGGATGTTTGGATCGGATCCGGGCTAACGTTGAGTCCGTATCATATCAGATGTTTGATGCTACTTATAGGAGAATTAAATATGAATTAATTATAAAATTAATTGTACAAGAATAGACTAACTAGTGAAATGAATCTATTAAGCTAAATCAATCCATGGTTAGTACATGTTTACGGCATCACCATATTGGTCATGTTCGCTTCTCTTAAGATCTATCTTTTTCAGCTTTTATTTTTTTAGCTTGAAATAATATTATTTTTACAACAAATTAATCGAATAATATTTTTGACTTATTTTTTCAGCGAAGCGAACGAAACCATTGTCAAATCATAAACTAACTAGGTTTAATAAATTTGTCTAGTAAATTAATCTTAATCTATATAATTAGTTTATATCTAATACCAAATACTACTCATTAATGTCAAATATGCTACGTGACATGAGCGATTCGATGTGACGTGAAGGAGTTTAGTGCGGGGAACCCAACACCCGGAGGTTGCCATATCGCAGTCGCAGGCCAGTTCTGTCTGTAAAAAGTCAACGTCACTGTGTCACCGTGAATGGTGAAGGTGGCAAGTGGATTAAGGGCTTGTTTGGTTCCTTCCCTTTCTTCTAAAATTTCTATCACATCAAATGTTTGGACATGTATATGGAGTATTAAATATAGATTAATTATGAAACTAATTGCACAACTTGCGACTAATTTGCGAGATGAATCTTTTAAGCCTAATTAGTCCATGATTTGACAACGTGGTGCTACAGTAAACATGTGCTAATGATAGATTACTTAGGCTTAAAAAATTCGTCTCGAAAATTAGCCTCCATCTATGTAATTAGTTTTGTAATTAATTTATATTTAATGCTTCTTATTAGCCTCTAAACATTTGATGTGACATAAATTTTAGAAGCGCCTAAAGAACCAAACACCCCCTAAGTTGTTGTTGGATGAAGTGATTAAAATTTAGAAGATGCTAGGACAGGATGTCATACGAGTTGTTAGATATTAATAAAAAAATAAATTACAGAATCCATCAATATTTTATGAGTCGAATTTATTAAATCTAATTAATTTATTATTAGCACATATTTACTGTAGGATTATATTAGGGCAGTCCCAATGAAAAAAAACTAGTAGTTTTCTATAACATAGGATACCGCACCAAAAAAATACTGCTTTCCAACCCATGGTTTCTATGAGTAATAATTATTTTTTCTTTCTCTCTCATAATTCTATCTTCTTCCTCCAATGGGAGTGTGACACGAGCTTTCTAGAAACTTGTGGTTTCTCCCCAATGACGATTTCATGGTTTTTTGGTGCATTGGGTCAAGAGTAGACCTGATTTCTTCATGAGGAAACCATTTCTATGATTTTTGCTCTCTTTCTTCATTAATTACGTTGCCATGTCAGCGTTTTGCCTACGTGGCAAGTCATTTAATGAGGATAAAAATCATCATCAATATATCATTAGGACTGCCCTTATCAAATCATAGACTAATTAGATTTAAAAGATTCGTCGTAAGCTATATAATTAATTTCGTAATTAATCTATATTTAATAATCCGCGTACCCCTAACACGAGCGGCAAGCTAGCCACTGGCCACCACACGACTAAGCACAGCCACGTGTTCACGCCATGGACGCCGCTGTCGCGGCGCTCGTCGTCGTCGTCGCCGTCGCCGTCCTTCTCTTCGTGGGTCTCCGGCGCTGCGCGGGCGCGGGCCACCGCAACCACTGCCCCTACCCGAACCCCGTGCTCGGCAACGTGGTGCCCTTTGTGCGCAACTTCCACCGCTTCCTCGACTGGGCCACGGACCAGCTCGCGGCGGCCCCGGCCTCCACCATCGAGGTGCGCGGTGCGCTCGGCCTCGGCAACGGCGTCGCCACCGCGGACCCGGGCGTCGTCGACCACCTGCTGCGCGCCGGGTTCCCCAACTACGTCAAGGGCGCGCGCTTCGCGGGGCCCTTCGCCGACCTCCTCGGCAGCGGCATCTTCCTCGCGGACGGCCGCCTGTGGAGCCTCCAGCGCAAGCTCGCGTCCTACTCCTTCTCGTCCCGCTCGCTGCGCCGCTTCTCCGGGCGCGTCCTCAGCGCCCACCTGCACCGCCGGCTCCTGCCTCTCCTCACGGCCGCCGCCGACTCCGGCGAGGCCGTTGACCTGCAGGACGTGCTCAAGCGCTTCGCCTTCGACAACATCTGCGGCGTCGCGTTCGGGGTCGAGGCCTCGACGCTGCTCGAGCTCGGGGAGGAGGACGGCGGGGGCAGCGGACGCCGCCGCCGGCACGATGCGTTCTTCAAAGCGTTCGACGACGCCGTCGAGATCTCCTTCGCGCGCATGCTCCACCCGACCGCCGTCGTGTGGAAGGCGATGCGGCTCGCTGGCGTCGGAAGCGAGAGGCGGCTCCGCGAGGCCATCCGCGTCGTCGACGAGCACGTCGCGGCGATCATGGAGTCGGAGGAGCGGTCGCGCGGGCGCGGCGACGACGAGCAGTACCTGCTGTCGCGGTTTGCGGCGGCGATGGAGGAAGATGAGGGGAGCGAGCTCGGCGCAATGTTCCAGTCGCCGGGGGCGAAGCGGCGGTTCCTGCGGGACATCGTCGTCAGCTTCGTGCTCGCCGGGAAGGACTCCACGTCCTCCGCGCTCACATGGTTCTTCTGGCTCCTCGCCGCCAACCCGCGCTGCGAGCGGCGCGTGTACGAGGAGGCGGCGGCATCGCTCGACGAAAACGGAGACGACGACCACAGCGGCTACGACGAGCTCAGGGGGATGCACTACCTGCACGCCGCGCTCACCGAGGCGATGCGGTTGTACCCGCCGGTGCCCATCAACTCGCGGGTGGCGTCCGCGGGGGACGTGCTGCCGGACGGCACGACGGTGCGCGCCGGCTGGTTCTCGGACTACTGCGCCTACGCGATGGGGAGGATGCCGAGGCTTTGGGGCGACGACTGCCGCGAGTTCCGGCCCGAGCGGTGGCTCGACGGCGGCGGCGAGTTCGTGGCGGTGGACGCGGCGAGGTACCCAGTCTTCCACGCCGGCCCGCGGGCGTGCCTCGGGAAGGAGATGGCGTACGTGCAGATGAAGGCCGTCGTGGCCGCCGTGGTCAGGAGGTTCTCCGTCGAGCCGGTACGGGCGGCGAGCATGGAGGCGCCTCCGCCGTACGAGATGGCGGTGACGCTGAGGATGAAGGGCGGGCTGCCTGTGCGGATAAGGAGGCGGGAGAGCTACGCGGGCCGCCACTGATCATGACAGGAAGCCCAATCACAAGAGGCACTCGCTGGCTAGTACTTCAGTTGGGCCATCAGTGTCAGGACTAAGGAGCCCGGAGTAGCAAGAAACACATCATCCCTCAAAGTTCTTGGAACGGAGGTAGCACGTCGCACTACCACCTTTTCAAACAGGTTTTAGTTGTTTTTTCTACAATTACCGTGTACAGCATTCCAGATCGAATGGTTATATGACATGAAATTGCTCTACAGAGCTCCGATCAAAACATGAAATACTGCATGCCAATGAGAGACACATATACCTTATTGTTAGCATATTGTATATATAGTAGGTCCCTTAATTGTGGATGTAATCACGCGCCTGTGCTGTATGCTTGCATGCCACCCCGGCTGCCCTATATGTACTCGTACACGTATGGAATACAATCAATTATTCCCACACTTTCATGGTATCAATCGCGGTTCCGATCCGCTACCCTTCCGCAACCCAAACCAAATACCGCCCGATCGATCGCCACCCCCCCGTCGCCGACTACATGTCGCCGGGTGTGTCGCCGGTCTCATCACCATATTGCCGAATCCGATCGCCCGCCCAGTAGCTTCCTCACACCGGTGTGTGGCCGATCCGATCGATCATGCCTCGCTCCCGATCTTCTATTGTACGTGTTGTCGTATCTCCGCTTGCTCCGCCGTCGCCAACGTGATGTACGTCTTGTCCGCTTTGTACATCCCGTGTCGCATTTGGAGCCGCACACATCGCCGGGTGTCTTGTCGTGTTGTACTGGTATACATCGCGTGTGTCGCTGCTTGCGCGCACACATCGCCGGTGTCTTGATTGATCGCGCCACCAGTGCGGCCGCCGTCCCGCCCCTCATGGCGGACGACGATGATGTTTGCGGCATTGGCTGCTGCTGCGCCAAGGCCAGCCAAGAGGCCCATGCCGAGAAAGCACGCCGCTGCCGAGGAAGAGCGCCTCCGCTCCGTCATACTGACGCAGTACGAGGCCACCCACGGCTATCTGGCGCGAGCCACCGCCGTCGTCAACGCCAAGGCCCTCATCCCGTCATTCTCGACCGTGCCACCAACACCTACACCAAGTGGCGCGGCATGTTCCTCACCGTCCTCGGCAAGCACGCTACCGACTCGCCACGCCCTGAGGATGAGGCGTTCCCCACGCGCCGGCGTGGTGCAGCGATTGTGTCGTGTTGACATGGATATACGACACGGTCTCCGGCCGATCTACGGCGATCGCTCATGATGCGGCAATGACCGCACGCGCTGGCTTGGTGCTACCTCGAGGATGAGTTCCTCGGTCAGCGGGAATCCCGCGCCCTCCTCCTCGAGACGCAATTCCGCAACTTCCGCCAAGACTCCCTGACAATCACAGATTATTGCCGTCGTCTCGAGTCCATGGCTGCGTCACTTGCAGAGTTCGGCGACCCCATTGGTGATCGGCAAATGGTGCTCACCCTCCTCCGTGGCTTGAGCGGCAAGCTCCGCCACATGGTGTCCATTCTCAAGATGCATCGCCCGTTCCCGACCTTCGCGGAGGCTCAGACGCACCTCCTCCCGGAGGAGATGGAGATCGACGCGAGGCCGCCCTCGCCTCCCGCCACACTCGTCGCCGCGCCACGCCCGGCGGCAAACACTGGTGGCCCTGCCACGCCGCGCTATGGGGTGCCCACTCCTCCTACGCGCCCCCACGGTGCGCCCTCTGGTGGACAGCAGGGAGCACCCACTGGTGGCCAGCGTTCCGGCCGACGTCGCGGCCGCGGCGAACGTGGTGGCCAGCAGCAGCAGCAACAACCTGCTGCTGGCGCCCCTCCCGGTTTCAGCCATGCATCCCCGGGTGTGCACCCGTCATTTGCACACCCCTAGGCTGGCACCCTCCAGATGTGGCCCTACGGGCGTCCTCCACCAGCGCCACCAGCGCTCACCACCGTCCCGCAGTACGGCTACGACGGCTCCTTCAGCGACGTCCCGAGCGGTGGCGCCTATGGCTCCGGCTACACCACTCCGCCTTCACCGTACGTCTACGGGGGAGCAGCGCCAGCGTTCCAGGGGCCCTCGCCGGCCTACCAGGTGTCATAGCCGGCACCCTGGAACCCCATCCATGGAGGCGCTTGGACTCAAGACTCCCTGGCGCAGTCGTTCAACACCATGACGCTCACTCTGCCGGCACCGTCCGAGTGGTACGCCGACTACGGTGCTGGTTCTCACATGACCGCGGACCCTGGTAACCTCTCCACCATTTCCCCACCATCATCTTTAACACCTTCATCTATCATTGTGGGCAATGGAGCACTCCTTCCTGTCACTGCCACCGGATCACATATTTTTTCATCTCCACATCGTAATCTTGTTCTTAACAATGTTCTGGTGTCCCCCAACATTATTAAGAATTTGATTTCCATTCGTCGTTTTACCACCGATAATAATTGTTCTATTGAATTTGATCCGTTTGGTCTTTCTGTGAAGGATTTGCAAACCAGGAACGTGATCGCCAGGTGCAATAGCTCTGGCGACCTCTACCCATTCTTTCCACCCGCCACCAGCACCTCCGCACTTATCGCTGCACCCACCTCACTTTGGCATCGTCGTCTCGGGCATCTTGGGCGCGAAGCTCTGTCCAAGCTTATTCGTTCCAGTGTTATCTCATGTAATAAAGATGATCTCCACCATATATGCCATGCGTGCCAACTTGGTCATCACACACGGCTTCCTTTTGGATCATCTAGCTCTAGGGCTAGTCATAATTTTGATTTGATACACTGTGATCTTTGGACATCTCCTATTGTTAGTGTGTCAGGGTACAAATATTATCTTGTTATTCTTGATGATTGCTCACACTACATTTGGACGTTTCCACTTCGCCTAAAATCTGAGACGTTTTCCACTCTCTCAAATTTTTTTTGCCTTTATTCACACGCAATTTGGCACCACCATCAAGAGCGTTCAGTGCGACAATGGCCGTGAATTTGATAATTCCACCGCCCGCACGTTCTTTCTCTCCCATGGTGTTGCCCTCCGCATGTCATGTCCATATACTTCTCAGCAAAATGGCAGAGCCGAGCGCTCCCTTCGCACCATTAATAATATTATGTGTTCTCTGCTATTTCAGGCGAGTCTTCCTCCGGTTTACTGGGTTGAGGCACTCCACACTGCCACCTATCTTGTGAACCGCCTCCCCACCAAAACCCTTGCCTCCTCAACACCTTACACCCACCTTCATTCCACCCAACCCTCCTATGACCATCTCAAAGTTTTTGGGTGTGCTTGTTACCCCAACTTGTCCTCCACAGCACCCCACAAACTTGCACCTCGTTCTTCCCTATGCGTCTTCCTCGGCTACTCCTCGGAACACAAAGGCTATCGGTGTCTCGAGCTCCAGTCGAATCGCATTATTCTCTCCCGACATGTCGTTTTTGATGAATCTTTTTTCCCTTTCGCCGACATGTCGACCACGCCCATGGCTTCCTCTGCCTTGGACTTCCTCGTTGATGAGCATGATCTCACCGCTCCACTTCCTAGAGTTCGCGTTGTGCATGCAGGTACCCCGGCTCCTCCGACGTCGCCCGCCGTGCATGGCCTGTGCTCGTGCATGCGCGCTGTTGTTGCCCCACCCGCTCGCCTCGCACCGCCGAGCCCTGGAACGCGGTCGCCCAGCTCGCCCCTAACCGGCGCTCTCGCCCTGCATCCATCCCGCACAAGTCGCTGCCATAGCGCCGGATCCTTCTCGCCGATCGCACCATCCGGCCTTGCTTGCCCACATGCCATTAGCATGGGTTGCTACCAGCAGCACCACGGCGCCAGGTGTTGCTGCCCCTGTGCCATCCGCACGGGCTGCTGCCAGCAGCTCCACGACAACCGGCCGCACCATCGCCACTCGCCCGTCTCCATCACCCCGGTCACCAATGCGCACGCGCGGCAAGGCTGGCATCACCCAACCTGTGGATCGCCTCAACCTCCACACTGTGCCCATGTCGCCTTTGTCGCGCTCTGTTCGGGACGCTCTGTCAGACCCCAATTGGCGCTCCGCTATGCCGGCTGAGTATGATGCTCTTCTCGCCAATGACACTTGGAGCCTTGTTCCTCGGTCGCGTGGTGTCAATCTTGTGACTGGCAAATGGATTTATTGTCACAAGTTGCGGGCCGATGGTTCCCTTGATCGCTACAAGGCTCGCTGGGTATTGCGGGGTTTCACACAGCGCCCCGGTGTTGATTATGATGAGACTTTCAGCCCAGTGGTCAAGCCTGCGACTGTCCGGGTGGTTCTATCTCTGGCATTGTCTCAGCAGTGGCCCATTCATCAACTGGATGTCAAGAATGCATTCTTACACGGCACCCTCACTGAGACAGTATACTGTGTTCAGCCCAGTGGTTTTGTTGACTCCTCACGTTCGGATTATGTCTGCCGCCTCAACAAGTCTCTTTATGGCCTGAAGCAAGCGCCCCGTGCCTGGCGCCACAGGTTCGCCTCACACCTTGTCCCTCGGCTTTGTTGAGACTCAGTCTGATACTTCATTATTCTCATACCATCGGGGTTCAGACACTGCCTATCTGCTGCTGTATGTGGATGATATTGTTCTTACCGCCTCCTCCGCCAGATTTCTCCAGCCGATTATTGCAGCTCTCCAGCGTGAGTTCGCCATGACCGATATGGGACAGCTACACCATTTTTTGGGAATCTCTGTGACACATTGTGCTGGTGGTCTTTTTCTCTCTCAGCGGCAGTACACTCTGGATATTTTGGAGCGCGCCGGGATGAGTGCTTGCAAACCTGGCAGCACCCCTGTTGACCTTCACTCCAAATTATCTGCAGATGGGGCTCCGATTGCCGACGCCACACAGTACCGCAGTTTGGCTGGTGCTTTACAGTATCTGACTTTCACCCGACCAGATATCGCCTTTGCAGTTCAGTAGATTTGCTTATATATGCATGATCCTCGTGAGCGCCACCTTGCTGCACTCAAGAGGATTTTGCGCTACCTGCAGGGTTCTCTCTCACTTGGGCTGACCATGCGTCGGTCACCACCTGCGGAGCTGGTCGTCTACACTGATGCTGACTGGGCCGGCTGTCCCGACACTCGACGTTCCACCTCCGGTTACGCAGTGTTCCTTGGGGACAATCTGGTGTCCTGGTCCTCCAAGCGTCAGCAAACAGTCTCCCGGTCCAGTGCAGAGGCCGAGTATCGTGCTGTGACAAATGGTGTTGCTGAAGCTACTTGGCTCCGCCGGCTTCGCCACCCGCCTCGCCGTGCCACCCTGGTCTATTGTGATAACATCAGTGCTGTTTACCTCTCTAGCAATCCGGTGCAGCATCAGCGGACAAAGCATGTTGAGATTGATCTTCACTTTGTCAGGGAGAAGGTCACCCTCGGTCACATTCGGGTACTTCATGTTCCGACGACATCACAGTACGTCGACGTCTTCACCAAAGGCCTTCCTACCTCGTTGTTTCAGGAGTTTCGATCCAGCCTGAATGTCCGCCATGCTCCCGATCAGACTGCGGGGGAGTGTTAGCATATTGTATATATAGTAGGTCCCTTAATTGTGGATGTAATCACGCGCCTGTGCGGTAGGCTTGCATGCCACCCCGGCTGCCCTATATGTACTCGTACACGTATGGAATACAATCAATTATTCCCACACTTTCACTTATTTCAAATTCTAGCTTCCGGGGTTAGAGTCAGAACCATTTCTGAAAATCACTGCGTGATAATGATGGGCAAGTGAAAGTGAAAGAACGCAGCTGCATGCATAGATGGGGCATACACTTATTACATCAACACTCGCCCGAATGTCCTCCGGCTACGTTTGGAGAGTTGCTTAAACATCCTCCTCAAGACAGCCTGGATTGATACGCCTGCCACCGTCGCGGTCTCTGCACAGTTGCCGTACTTTTACAGCCAACGAATAATTTTTATCTCACAACAAATTAGTCAACAGTACTTTCAGTCATGACTTATCAGCCAAGCGAACAGAGCATTTATGCCCTATTTGGTTCAGCTCATCTGAGTCTCGCTTATAAGCTGAGTAGGATTATCTGATAAGTTGCGATACGTAAAATCTAAGCTGAGCGTTTGGCTGGCTCGATTATTTTAGGATGGACATTTTGCACTAGGAACCCTGACTTTTCTCAAACTATGTAGCACTGTTTACTACTATTCCTATGAGTCTATAGCCTTACAACTGGACCCAAATAAAAGTTTCTATTTACATCCAGGTCCTTCTTCGTGGGGGAGAAGCTACGGCTGTGGGCTCCGAGGGGGAGGAGCTCCAGGCGAGGAGGAGCTCCGGCGGTCGGCGGAGCTGCGGGCGGGCGTCGTCGGGTTGCTGATGAGGCGGTGGAAGGAAACGCACGCGGCGGAGGCGCGGCCGAGGTCCGCAGGGGAGGCGACGCGGAGGAAGATCTCCTCGAGGAGCTCGCTGACGAGTGACGGCGGCGGCTGCTCCAGCGCCATGGCATCCAGGCAGGGAAGGACCGGGAGAGCACGTGACGCCATGGCCGACGCGCCTCCCGCCGCCGGCGAAGGGAGGAAGGGAAGCGAGGATCGAGGGTTTCGGGCGGATTTGGGTACGGAGTGGAAGCGAGCAGACGGATCCGCCTGGGAGGGATTGCCAGCGCTCGGTTACGCGGCTCGCGTTTTCCAAATCGTAGCCCTTCGGTCGCTTTTCCAATCGCCGTTGCGGGGTGGAAATCGAACGCGAACGCCGCGTTTGTGATGGAGACCGTCACGAGCCGTTTGGAGGGATTATCCTGCTTCTCCCTTCGCGAACGCGCGTATGAGCGGAACCAAACAGGGCCATAATTATATCACTGTCTCTATCGTTTATGACCTGGTATCACACAGTGTTGCAAGTCAGGAAAGCTCATAGAACAGTGTAATGCATCTGAAAGAAAAACTCTGAAGCTTTCAGAAATCAGACCCAAACGAATACAATTAAAATTTCTTACTAACGTGTATCCACCGAAATTAGCAAGCAAAACTACCAGATTAAAATGAACAGAAAAGACTATGTCGTAGACATCAAAGATAGTTTCTTTCCACCCTTGCTCTGATTCCATGGCTGAAAAGTAGTTCTGAATAAGTTTAAGCGAACAGGGCGTAATTTTTTCTAGTCCCAGGAAGCACCCTTGCTCTGCGACGGTTATCTTTTTTTTCCTTAGCTTGTCGCTGATGTTCTCTTATTTTGTTTAGTCTCGGTTTGTTTATGGCTGTGATTTTGGCTCAACTTTGACAAGGTTTCGGAGTTTGACGGCGAGCGTACGGATGAATACGTGCTGAACGTCTCCACCGGAAACACACGGCAATATATTAGCTAGAGGAGGCCAGACCAAAAGTTTCGTACCAAAAATCGGAGGAAATTTTGCCTCTTTAGTATTTGGGAGAGGATAGAGGGATAGAGGATAGATACATAAATCAATAAGGAGAAATACATAAGTTCGGTCCAAATGCGAAAAAAGAAGCCAGTACTATCACCGGAGAGACGTACATATGGGAAGTTCAGCTACAATTTGGCATTCCCTTATTTCAAATTCTAGCATCCGGGGTACAGTGAGAATAATTACCGAAAATCACTGCGTGAGAATGACGGGCAGTTGCATGCATAGATGGGGCATACTCCTCTCTTTTTGTGTGTGTGTGTATGTGTGTGGGAAGATGGGGCATACTCCTACTATTACATCAACAGTCTCCTGAATGCCCTCCGGTTACGTTTGGAGAGTTGCTTAAACATCCTCAAGACAAGCTGGATTGATATGCCTGCCACCCTTGGATACGATACTGCTTCGCGGTCTCTGCAGGGTTACTGGCCTTTATAATCCCTCGCCCGACTATAATTATATCACTTCCTCTATCGTTTATGACCTGGTATCACACAGTGTTGCAAGTCAGAAAAGCTCACAGAACAGTGTAAGGCATTTGAAAGAAGTCTGAAGCTTTCAGAAATCAGACCCAAACGAATACCATTGAAATTTCCTACCAACGTATATCCACTTAAATTAGCAAGCTAAACTACCAGATTAAAATGAAAAGAAAAGATTATGACGTAGACATCAAACAGAGTGGGCCACAAGATAATTCAACATTCAAGCACACAGTTCATGTCTTCATGATATGCCAAGGCACGCAAGTTTGAGCAGAGGGATAATTTTTGAGTGAATCAAAACACACGGTACAGTTTTACAGTTAAATGCAGTCTCCTAAGAAGTTTATTCTTTGTTTTGAATAGCACTAATCTCATGTCAGAAGTTCATATCACTGAAGTAAAGAACAAAGAAGAACTAGGCTAGTCTTATGACATCCTCTGACAAAGTCTCGATATAAATAAAGAAGAAACATATTATTATTCAGTTTGCAAGTTAAAGGGGGTATCTATATTCTAAACACATCCAATATCTATTCTTTTAACAAACCAGAAATACTGAAGTTATGTTGATGTTTGTTTACAGTACTGCACCACTGTCATCGTTTAAAATATAGAAGCACTCAGCAGTGCAAGTATATATTATAATACTTATAGCCAATATTATCTACATGTACTTTCATATTGTCAAACTGATGCCCACCTTTTAAGGTGGTGCCATTTTTATTTAAAACTTTCAAGAACTGGCACCCCTGTATAAGGTAGTATAACTAATCTAACCTAGCAATTTTGAAGATATATAATAATTTTGAAGATTTCTGAACAAAACACCACAGCAACGAGAATTGAATGGCAAAAGCACAGTTACAGAAAAGGGAGTGTCATATTGTTGCCCAAGGGCATCTCCTCCAGCAGCCATCTGAACTCCAGGAGTGGCATGGATAAATGCTGGGCTCGACGGTGCTGGTGACCAAGATGCAGGATTTACTGATATAAATCCTATTACAAAGTCAGGATATTGCTCGGCAATCTTTACAGCCGCAGCAGTGTAATCTCCATAAGCAAGGTTGCCAGCTGAGCTCATTTCAGCGAGCAAAAATAGGCCCCTTCCTTTAGGCAAACCCTTCAATGCCAGAACACAATAGTTACTGTGAGCAACACATGTATGAGCTATTAGCAGCTGCAACATCAACTATTATCTTTAATTAACTCAGAAGTTGTGTAAGGCCTATGTATATATGTTATAAAGTACCTTCAGCTTCAAGCCATCTACAATCCCAGGTCCAGGAACTATATGCGCATTAATAATATCCACCCAGTCTAATAATATACAACAAAAGAGAAGATAAGGAAAATGCTGTCAGAAGAGAACATACTGTGCGAAGCTTGGCCCCAAAATCCGGTGTAAAATCAGACAAGATATCAACATGAGTTTTCAACATACAAATCTCTGGACCAACCTACACATGTGGGGCAAACAAATTAAACCACTATCAACAATAGAAATACCAAGCAACACAAGAACTAATGGCATGTATACCTTGTCAGCAAGCTCAAGTAGCTCTTTCGCTGTCCCAACTCCGCCGCAACACACAAGTTGCTCTGCTTCGCCTCCATCACCTCGAACAGCTTCCTCCCCATGGGGTTCGTGGCCAACCCGGCCCTCTCCGCAAAGGACTTCCTCCTAGCAGTAGCAGCCGACGGCTTGGGCGGTCCAGCAGGCACGCCGGGCACCGCCACCTTCCTGTTGGCGTCGAGGAACCGCCTGACCTCGGCGACCTTCTCCTCGCCCACCCTCCCGTGCCTCACCAACACGGCGAGCATCTCCGTGAGGGTCATGAGCGAGTGCAGCGCGACCCCGTTAGCGGCGAGGTTCTCCCGCCCACCTTGCTCGCGGTCGATGACGACGACGGCGTCGGCGACCACGAGCCCCTCGGCGCGGAGCGGGCCCACGGTCTCGAGCACGGAGGCGCCGCTGGTGAAGAGGTCCTCGACGATGAGCACCGTCTGGGATGCTCGGTAGGCGCCCTCGACGCGCTTGGTGTCGTAGCGGCTGAGCAGCATGGGCACGGAGGCGGCGACGGAGAGCGCGGCCGCGAAGGGCAGCGCCGTGTAGGGCACGCCGCAGAGGAGGTCGTAGGGGCGCGTGGCCGGGAGCGCGCCGAGGAGGGACGCGACGGAGGCGAGCAGGCGCGGGTGCGAGACGAAGAATACTGCTCATTCGCTGAAGAATACTGCTAAAACAGTTCAAGCGAACAGAGCTGTCTCGACATTTTTCTTTGTGGAAATGAGTACTACGTGTAGAAATGCTCTTCTACAGGCCCACACGGGAGCGGCGGACTGCGCCAACGGTAGTTGAGGCCTGTCGTCACTCGTCAGGTGAAGTGAGAACGACGATGCGCCACCCGCACGTGGCAAGTCTTTGCAGCGGAATCTGCACAAGCGGCGAGCGTGAAAAGTATTTTTTTTTTACAGCGGAATCTGCGGCTGAAGACAAATGAGCCGTTCGGTTGTTTCTGCGTTTCTGCGGACCGAAGCTGATTGCTCGGGTGTCCGGAGCTAAACCCAGAGTGTCAATAAGACGATCTAACCCAACCCACCACAGGCATCACAATGCCTAATAACTCAAACAACAAGAACAAAGTGAACCAAGAGGAAATTATTCTAACACAAACGATGATGTGGTATGCTCCGGATGAGTCGCCTCTGCAGTGAGTCTGATTGCAATTAGGTCCTGACACAACTGTAGGAGGACCTTTCCGCATGCTCTTATTATGCCAAATGCTTGGATTTGCCCACTCGGAATGCTTATGGCGCCCCCTCATAGCAAGCTGTTCTTGTATGCCTGCCACCCTTGCAAGCGGTACTCCCATGCCGTCTTCATAGGATCGCTAGCTTTTATAATCCCGCGTCCAACTATGATTATGTCGCTGCCCCTGTAGTTTATCACCTGAATTGCAAATCCATGATATATCAGGGAATGCTAATGTTACGAGGGAAAAAAAGTACTCAGATTGTCATAAACGATTTAGGCAAGAAAACATCCAACTGAAGCATGTATCAAGATTTTATTTGAACTTTTCAAAAGGGGAATAGTCTCACAGCAGCAATATTTGTCCATGCCAAAATATATATCAACACAGCTTCAACAATATGTGAAGTAAAATTTTGGTACTAAACAAAATGACAGTATTTTAATGGCTGTGGCCATTATGATCTAAATATACTTCCACATGGTCAAAGGAAAACCTGCCTACCAACAAAACTGATGCTTTGCAAATTGTATAATGTAGTGATGTTACCAAATTCAAATTTTGCAAGGATGTGCACAGGTATAGCAAACTAAAAGCACTAGGATGTATGAACAAACACCAATATTCCAATAACCACACAAGCAGACAGTACAGGCACAGTTGTACTTACAGACTCAGGAGTGTTGTATTGTTGCCCAAGATCATCTCCTCCAGCGACCATCTGAACTCCAGGTGTGGCATGGATAAACACCGGGCTTGATGGTGTTACTGACCAAGATGCAGGATTTACTGAGATAAATCCCATCACAAAGTCAGAATGTTGCTCAGCAATCTTTACAGCAGCAGCAGTGTAATCTCCATGAGCAAGGTTGCCAGCAGAGCTCATCTCAGCGAGTAGAAGTAGTCCTCTTCCTTTAGGCAAACCCTTCAAGGCCAGAACACAACAGTTGATGTGAGTGCCATGATTCATCAGCTATTCTTATATGCAACAGTAACTTATTCAAGTCAGTACTAATAGTTGCCATGCAAGTAATATACATAAAAGCATAAGATACCTTCAGCTTCAAGCCATCTACGATTCCAGGTCCAGGTACTATATGCGCATTAACAATATCGGCCCAGTCCAATATGCGGAATATTCCTCTGAACCAAAGCAGGAAAAAAAAAATTATAGCGCACAAATATAAAGATGCAACATACAAGTGAGCATGTAGATACCAAAGTTCTTTTCTCACCCTTCATATTGCATGGTTACTGTATTTCCAATGTCAGCAAACTTGCGGTCTTCGAAGATCAAAAAGTTGTGCTTCTCAGCAATCTTCAACAGAAAGATAGGAACCAATTAAATAAGGGTTTTTTGGATTGGTGCCATTGCAATTTTGCAAGTTTGGAGAAACGCCATTACTATTCATCTATTTGGAAACATGCCATTATAATTTTGCTTTAGCTTGAATCGTGCCATTTTATACGTATTCGATAGTGTTGGGCCCATGTGCAGGTGACTACAGGCCAGTGTATTCTCGTACGTCCCAAAATACCCCTGCTACTTCTCTCTTCCTTCACTCGCTGATGTTTGGGCCCCAGACGTCAGCTTCTTCTTCAACCTCTAGATCGACCATTGGCCGCCGGCCAGTGGCAGGCCCAGGACGAGCCGGCATCCGCCCAGGCCCAGGGCGGCGAGCTCAGCTGGCTCGTGGATCCGGACGGCCATGGGCGCCGGTGGGGTCGATGATGTCTGCTTGCTCTGGCCTTATCCATCCTGACAGTGGCAACTCGCGCAGGGACAGGGCAGGAGCAGCACAGCACCGCATCTCCAACAAATTAAAGGTCCTGTGTGGATGCATCAGGCAAAGCAAGAGCGCATGCGCGACGACCGCATGAGCTCCAATCCAACGTGCCGCAACCGGGCCAGGTGACCTTCGTCAGTTCCGAGCCTAGTCCGCAATCATGTCGTGGCCTCCCCCACTTCCTTCACCTGCTGTTGCGCTGAGCGAGAGGCAACAGCTGCGAACCCCAGCGGTGCGAGCACCGGTTTTGTTGGCCGAACGCTTGGAAGCCTGGAACACTGACTCCGGCGGCCTGATGCGACCGAGTCGAGTACGGCTCCGGCGGCCAACCGGTTCAGAGGCTCGAGACCTCACTGGCGCCGGTGGCCGACCGGATCCGCGAGCCAGCCGAGCTCGCCGCCCTCCAATGGTGGCCAATGGTCAATCTGTCTAGAGGTTGAAGGAGAAGTTGACGTGTGGGGCCCACACGTCAGCGAGTGAAGGGAGAGAGAAGCAGTAGGGGTATTTTGGGACATACGAGAATACACTGGCTTGTAGTCACCTGCACGTGGGCCCAACACTGTCGAATACGTATAAAATGGCACGATTCAAGCTAAAGAAAAATTATGATGGCATGTTTCCAAATAGATGAATAGTAATGGCGTTTCTCCAAACTTGCAAAATTGCAATGGCACCAATCCAAAAAACCCATTAAATAAAGAGGAGACGTGTAAAAGGCAAGTCAGGTAACGATTTAAGCATCTTAAATAGCAAATATTTCGTTGTTATCACAGAAAATACATCTGGTAGTTTATCAAACAAAATATGGTTTAGGAAATTCTGACATTATCTTTGGAATAGGTAGATTGTTCCCAAAGTGAAAATATTATAGGAATATGGAAACCATTATAGGGGACATTGAATGGATCAAAGAAACTTCTAATCATAGCAGAAATCAAACGTACTCCCTCCATTCCAAATTATAGTTCAGTTTGGTTGACATAAGTTCTCTAACTTTCTGTAAATGCAGGGTTTGCCTCTGTAAAAAAAGTTCTCTACTTTGACCAAGCTTTTAGAAAAATATATTAGCGTCTACAAGTTCAAATAAACGCAATATCAAAACATATGTTTAATGAAGAAGAATTTATTTATGGAACTAACTAGATATTGTAGATGTTGGTAGATTTTTCTATAAGCTTAGTCAAAGTTAGAAAAGTTTAACTTAGGACAAATCCAAACAACAACAACAACATAGCCTTTCAGTCCCAAGCAAGTTGGGGTAGGCTAAGTGAACTTTAATTTGGAACGCAGGGAGTACTACCTAATATAACTGTATCATCAGAGACAATGTATTCTGCTGATAGTTGCTTTGACACTCCGGACAGTCAGCAGCTCAAGGTGCAAGTAAAACCAGGTGACTAGACAGGCCACCTACCAAATTTGAACAATATACTAGCACATGTACATATGAGCCACACAGGACACTTAGATAGGCCAGTATCACACTAAGGTGCAGAGCTAAGAACGGTGCTAGGGGGGCTGTAGCACCAGTCTGGCCCAAAGAATCTCCACTAACTCTATAAACTAACAGCTCAAAGTCATGCCATGAACAAAGGCTTAGCACCCTCCCAAGCAGGTGAGCACATCTCCAGTTGCACAGTCCTTGCTCTTTCCTGGGTCCACTCCATTCCCACTAAAGCCAGTAGACTATCTAAGCCATCTGCTCCATCCTAATATCACCAGCTGCCTTACCTCCTCAACATATGTACCTCCTAATGCATGCACAACTCCCATCACAACGAGGTTCTCTTTAAAGATGAATAAAAAGAAAATGAGAGGGCAAAGGAGCACCAAAATAACCCCCACACACACACACACACACACGTACACAAACCCACAGACCACATTTGCAAGCACAGAATGCTAGGAACATGGCCATTAGTGACCCATTTTCAGTTGCTCACACATCCATTCCTGATCCAGGACAAAAGGCATGGTGTCTACTCAAGGACACTTGGATGCATTGTTGCATTTTGTTAAAACACAAAAAGCAACATGAACAAAAACCAGTATATCATCATGAGAGGACATACCGAGTGGAGCTTAGAGCCAAAATCTGGTGTAAAATCAGATAATATATCCACATGGGTTTTCAACATACAAATTTGAGGGCCAACCTGCAAAACAGTTGGAAAATAGTGTAAGCACATGTACATATCAAATCCAGAGACTCATCCTTCAAAAGACGTGAGAATTGAGAACAAGAACACAACTGTCTAATTCTTACTGATTTTACTATTTTTTGCAAATTCAAAAGGCATGTAAGCAAACAAAATGGTATGATGTGATATGATGACTGAATCAGGATACACTACTCACAATGCCAAATGTTGAAGACATATGGCACCAATTCATTTCTCAATATTTTCACATACCTAAAATTAACAGATCAAGAACTTCTGCAAATGCCTATTGCACAATAGTACACAAGGCCACAGCGCCAAAATTGTGTTGCACCTATAAATTGCATTCCTACTTAGTGTGC